AGTGAGGGGGGGGGGGGGGGGGGGGGGGCCAGAAAGAATATACCATGCTTTCTATCATAATTCAAACACATCATTAAAAATAATCAACATTCAACCTCGCTATATATTAAAAAAAAAAAATTCCTTGCTGATTACTTTTTAATCCCAACTGTATCAGGCCCAGGTAGAGCTGCTTGTTTGGGGAATGGGGCTGTCACTTTTTCCATTGCAAACCCCTACTTAAGGGGATTTATAACTTGGCTGCGAAAACATACTCTGGGCTAAACTTGGCATATATAGCTTTAGCCCCGGAGCACATTTTTATTTTGTTGGGGTCTTTTTCCAGCCATAGAGTAGAAAAAAATTTATGCTCACTAGGTCTGGACATATCTGTGAACTTAATTGTAAGTACACAGTAATAAGTAAAACTGTTAAATACATACAATTAAAGTTTCCTAAGTCACTCTACAGCACTGCATTATTGCTTTTTGTATACAATTTTTTGTTTAGTGGCCAAGGAATTTAAACAACACTTCCAGCATTCCATTAATCCCTTCCTTTAGGAATCAAGATTTCCTCCATTAAGCAATAACTGAAGAAAATGTTCTAGGTCTTAGTGATATCAGTATGAATTTTTGATGCTAAGGGGTGAACAACAGGTAAAAGCAAGAGAGCTGTACGCCTAACAAATTAATCTTTCAGAAGGCCTAATTCTGTTCCGTTGATATCAATTAAATGTTCTTTGCATCCACTAAAAAAAAAGGTTGAAATCCAAAGTATTCCACAAAGAGCAGATATTCAATAGGAAATTAATGTCTTTTCACTTGCAGGCTGAGATACTGATAGATATACATACATACAGAAAACAGGTATTATTTCAATACTATCAAATAAATATTTTTCCTGACCAAATAGGTCTGGTGTGATTCTGATAACTTCAAAGCTGCCCCAATACCTCTTTATACATATTTAAACAAACTAATGTACTAGCTCATACACACAAATGTCTTTCCACATTCAACAAGCAAATTATAATACGTAACAGGAACCACTATTCCTGAGACTCTTGTAAATTTTTTAGGAGTGACAAATATTAAGAAAGATTATCCACCATAAATGCTAACACCAAATTGCTCAAAAGACTGAGCTAAAGGACTACATATACAAATAAATTCAACACAAATATTATCTCTGCCCTTACAACTCTTAATACTCATGTTAAAACATTTCAGAAAAAAACTCCATGAAGTCACTAAGAAGTCACAAGAATTTGACATTTTGTCCATAAAGGAGGAATGAAACAGTGAAGAAAATGAATGTGACTTCCAAAGCACCACTCTGCTTCCACAACCAACTCTTGAATACTACTATTGCGCACACTGAACACTACTATTGCATACACGGCAGCCAAACTAGAATTTAACGCAAGCATCTTTAAGGCAGCCAAGCAAACAGGAAATATATCCGTTCTATTTCAGGGGGTGGTGGTGTTGGTGTTTTCTTTTTTACCTCCAGAAGTTCATCCTCCAGTTGCAGAAGACCAAGTGTTGCAGCTGGACCATCTGAAGCAATTGATGATATATAATGATGTCCATCAAATGTGTCAAGCTCAACTCCTAATCTCAAAGTGTGGATGGGTAATAGCTGTCAAAAGATAAAGATATATACATTCTCAGCAATACTTACCTACCACAATATAAACACAGTTAGGATTCAGTAGCTCACCAAATTAAACTAAGCACATAGTAAGATGATTAAGTCTTCATACTGACATCATCTGCATTACAGCACAAGTCTCCATAATTTCTCTATACAAACTGTTTGTACCAATGAAAACAACCAATTTGCCCTTTGGGGGAAAAGGCAATTTGAACTGTGTTCTTAAATAAGGTTACCATATTGGAAAAAATGCCGAGAAAAGTACTACCTAAAGTCTATCCTACCTAAAAGGATAGGATAGACAACAAAACTTTCAACAAAACTGAAAGAAATTTCATAATCGCCATAAAAACTCATCACAAGATCAGCTGGCTAACTCCTTTAGGAGCTATGCTACTTTGAGGTAGGAAAAATATCCATGAAGCGTCCTCTGCAAATAGCTCATAATACCGACATCCATATTTCTGGAAGGTGAAATCACTGTTTTTCTGTTAGACTTTTCCCAGCAGGCCTCCTTATTTTGGATTTTTTCTCTAGGGAGCCTCCAACGATTAGTGTCTTAGGTCTGCTAATATTAGGAAGACTAGCATAAAACTGTTAACACTATTCAGACAAGACAGTAGAAATCATGGCAACTTGGGAAGGAGAGATGATCAGCAGTATCTGGTCCTTCAGTTTGGCCATCTTCTGACTTTTTATTACTTAAGTTGAAACACTGACTGTCCTTCTGGTTCCCAATCAATTATGGATATTCAAGTAAAAGGAGCAATCCATTGATCCTCAACGTTCCCTCACGCCCATGTCTGATTCTGAGTTTAAAGCCTTTCCTTGTGAGACATCCTCACAAGTACATAAATGCTTCACGTCCACAAACCTCTTTTGCACAATATTAACATACATATCTTGAAAATCTCTCAAAAGTCTCAGAAGACTGAAATTAATTTCAGCTCTGACCATTTCAATTAAACAGACCTCCCTCTCCCTGAGTCAGGATCACTATGACAAATTCCTCTGCAGGACAATGACATCGTTCAGCAGAGTTTCAAGCTTTGTTCCATTCCGTAGTGGCTTTCGACAACTGAATTTCAATGCAATTAAGTACCACAAAATTTGAAGCTTATATGCATGGTTTGAGTGTTGGGGGTTTTTTTGTTTGGGGTGTGGGTGGGTGTGTGTGTTAAAAGGTTCATTTGCCCGTGTTACAAACAGACACTGGACCAGTCCAGAAGATAAGCAGAATATTGGCAGCCTTTTTTGGGGGAAAAATCAGATAGAGCCACAAAGCCACTAAATTTCTGAAACACGTAAATCTGTAATTGTGTCATGCCCTCCTGGGATTACTCTGCCAACATATACCATGATGGAAACCATCATGTCAGTCATACCTTTGAGTACTTCTGGAGCTCTGAATCATCTGTAATGGGCATATCCACATTCACAACCTAAAAATTATACATCAAAACATTTTTCAATAGCAGGACAATAAAGACTTTACTGGAATGATGAATTCTGGCAAAAAAAATGATGAGCAAAATAAACTGTACTTAAACAAAGTCACACTGATGCAAAATAATTTTAAACAAATGTTAGAAAAATCTTTCAGACACGGAACATTTACAACTAGGAATGCGGTGATTATGCACTATTAGCAGACTCCAATATTATCCTATTCCTGAAGCCCGAGTGCCAATTTTAGTCAAGTTCAGTAATCCTGTATAAGCACAAAATGCCATTATGTCTGACACAAATACCCAAACTGACTTGCCAATCAGAATTTGAAAAGTACGCTAGCTTAAGTTATTACTTCAGGCCATAGTACAGCCATCTAACATCTAGACTAAATCATCATCTTCTGCAGCGTGTTTCTAACATGGCTTCAAATACATGAGTGTAATTATCAAATTTGAATGCAAAGTGGATTATTTAAGAAAAAATGGCAAGAAATCCCATTTTTTTATGTTAATAACTATGTTCACTACCAGTTTTCTTGTGATGTTCTTCCTTAACACTGTTCATTTGTAACCTTAGAAGGTTATTTACTCCAATTTTAAATGTAATAAGATGACATCTGTGGTGATCTATGGTCCAGGGATGGAACTTGGGATGCTGAAGTTGAATATGTTTGGGAGGATTTGGAAAATATATAGCCTTGCAAAAAATCAGGTAACTACAGGCTCCTCTGGAAATTTCTAGTTTAACAAAGTATCTACAAAACAATACTAAGCCTCGGCTTTTTCTTTTGCCTTAATTTTAAATACGGCTTCCAGCATCTTGTTTTCCAGTACGTAGGCTATTTTTCCCGATAGACAGAATCCATTTCATGTCCATTCAGTTGTAACTAAATGAATCTATGACTGATAACTCCTCAGCTTGACTGCTCACGCTTAGGTACCTGGCAACAAATCCCACACAGTCATACATCCCTGTACGGACTTTCAGCAGGATCTCAGCTCCTTCCATTGGTACCACAAAGGATCAGCAACACAAAAGCCATGAGTGACACCAAATCCTCTCTTCAAACAGCTATTTCCTCTGAAGAGAAATATTTCTGAGGGAATACTCAAACCTGTATGCACCTTTAAGGTGAATTTCTGGGAGTGGAGTGTAGGAATGAGGATAGGGTGAAACAAGGACTGCGCTATCAGGCTGCAATCGAACTAAATGTTGTTATTGAACGCAGCCAAGCAGGACTAGAGGTAGGTACAGATGACAAGATCTGGAAGAACCGAAAAATTACTTTCAAAATGGGATGCCACAACAGTTTCCTTCTATTATTTAAAAGGACCAATCGTTAACATTTTCACTCCTGACATTTTACTGGCGGCAGCTAAAGAATAATTAGAAATGGACGGTTTCACAAACTAAGCAGGTTTTCGTCCTCTGTGGGAAGTGTGATAGTGCTAAGGGAAGTAATATCAGACTCTTGAAATGTAAGGATGGGAATACCAAGCAACTGAAGTGGGCAGCCAAACAGATTTATTGCATCATGTACATAATCTTACACGAACTTCAGATCTTAAAGGAGTGCTAATGGAAAGAAGAGAAGTGAGTTTCTCAAGGCAATTCTTAAAGCTACTTTAAATCTTCCAGCGAGTGACTGGAACGATGGCTACTCCAAGTAGTAAAAATAAGTGTCTCTAAATCAACTGGACAAGCATTGCAAAGACAAACAGGGCATTTTCTTGGTGGTGGTGAGAATTTTTTAAGTCTTCGGAAAGAACACTGGCTGGAGTCTTTTATCTGTACTCACTGGCTAACGCAGCCCTGAAAAGCAGTAGTGAATTACAATTTCAGTCAACTCCTTATGATGATTCATCAAAACAATCTTTTGCTTGGCAATTATTTAATATGAAGTGAAGAAATATCTAATAGACACTGGCACCACAAAGTTACACTACCGTAAATTATTTCCTATTTACCCAGCACGTTTGAAAATCATTCTTTCATTCCTCTAACAAAATTGGAAGATTCTTCGTGAAACACAGGAGCCTTATCCTGAGCTTATTTTTTCCCAGTGCACAATAAACCAAATAGATCATAAATGAAATCATAAAAATGCCACATATTTTAAGTGGCTGCTATGATGTAGATTTAAAAGGACAGTTGATTTTCTTAAATCATTGTTCCTGTCTAGTATCTGTATAACAATAGCATCTATATAAACAGAAGGAAAAAAAAAAAAAAACAAAACACCCAACAACTCATTACAACACTCCTGTATTTCAGCCTTGACATTACGGGAAACAAAATTTCATGTTACTGATCTGTTCCAAACACTAAAGTGTTCTATAAACAGACTGTAAAGCTAAGCTCACAGATCTGTAATTTAAAGAAATAACATACATGAATGTAGTTTATTGAAAGATAACATACCATAACTTCATATTCAGGTCCCAGCAGGTTTTCCCACTTGGATTTCAGCTCGTGCGCTGAAGGGAGCGGGACTCTTCCTAAATATGAAAGCGAATACTAAATTTACAAGCGTATTGTCCATTCAGAAGTATGTTTACTTCCAAATACTTCCATAAAAATTCAGTGTAAATAAAAGATTAGAGGGAATAATTCTAAAAAGGAAAGTGCATTAAGCTGAGTCTATCAAACAGTGCAAATCAAAAATGTCTTTCTTAGGAAAACAATGCAAAATGTCAGCTACTGCTAATGTGTGATTTATTCAACTGAGAAGCAGAAGAGGTGATGCTTGCATTGATGAGATGCGAGTTCTGTACTGTATAGTGCTGTAAATAAATCATTCTCCCAGGCTGCAAAACAAATTTCACATGACTTCATAATTTGTTGTTATAAAAATGCTTGCCACTCCAGGGAAGCATCATCTCCCACCAAAATGAACCCCCTTAAGAAGTAAAACACCTGACAAGATATTGCTGTTAGTGAGGGGCTGCGTCAGCACAATGCAGTCACAGACTTTATTTATACATTTGGCAGGTATAAAGGCTTGTCTAGTTTAATTAGGCCAGTAAGTAACATGAGCTTTAATATAAGCTCCAGTTCTAAACCAGTCTTCCGTGGGAACTTGGCTATCTTGACATTTATATCTTTTCAGCTTTCTTACTTATGCAACCAAGGCAGCATTACATTCATGTAAGACAATTTGACAGAGCTAGACAGCATAAAATGACTGGCTGCCCTGTATTTGACCTCATCCAGAAGCTCAGCGCACATATAAAGTTCCAAACTGAAGCAATGTTTAACTGGTAAGAATCAAGCTCTAAAGCAAATTCCATCTAGCAGCTACAGCAGCAAGCAGCAACTGGGGCCTGAATTACCAAAAACTGGTTTTTTTCTCCCTGAACGACTGTAATAGTTTGTCAGATGTCTAGACGAGGCACAGACCACTTAGTATTGCTGATGCGTCACACTGAAATTTAGAATGGCAATCACAACCTCACATTTTGCACACAAACTAGCGAGTAAAATACCTCGAGGGGGAAATTTTGAAGACACCAAGAGCAGCTCAGAGCCTACCTACTAGCAAAAGCCAACACAAACGGGATGTCAAGCTGCCTCTGCTTTCAACACCTTTGTAGACTGCAAAGATAAAACACGAGCTTTGCAATACAATCCTCATTACATCATTTTATAACTTTGAAGTTTCCACTCATTAAAAACAAAGATTTATGTTAACTTATACAATAACATAACTCATCACTGTATCTCTTTTGCTCACTTTCTGTCTGATCTGCACTGAAAACCCACATTCCTCAGAGCCTAACAACTGAGATTTCACTTGGAAATGTCCAGAGCATCTTTAACCTATAGGCTCAAGGAGCTACAGGTATTCAAGGATTCCAGCAATTCAGATTTTCTGTCACTAAAAGAAACTTGAGTTTGCAAATACAGCCCACAGCTCTCTCTGAAATAAATTATCTCCTTAAAAAAAAGGGAAGACAAATTGTCCTGACATTCTCAGCCATAAGTTAAGGGGTTCTTCCTCCACTGAAATTTCATTGAAGTTTCTAAGGAGAAGTTGTCTTCGTGAGCCTCCTTCTCAAGCACAGGATGAACATTATCTTTACTTCCCAACTGTAGCAAAACCAGAACACCCGTGCATTTTTCCATGCCTCCTATTTGCAGAAATACATAAAGACAGAAATTCTTTAGTCTCTTTTTCTGTTATTACAAAGTTACAGCAGGAACACACAGGACCTAAGCACCTGCAATCCCCTGGGCACCAAATACAGATTTTAAGGTTCACCAGGAGTAATGAATCTTTAAGGTCAAGCTCAAAGTTCAGTTCAGTAACTGTAAGCTGTGTTCGGTTGGCTGAATACAGATTTTTTTGCCGCTTCCAAAACACATTACCAAAATCTATGAGTTGTTCAGAGCAAGGTGCTGATGCATGTCTCCATTTGAAGTTTCCCCCTTTCTTTCTTTCAAACATGCTTTGAAGTCTTTGCTTGTAACTTCCTCAGAACTGTGGAAATGTTGGCTGGAGGGATTTGGATTAAATATATTCAATTCCAGTGGTATCACCCAATTCACTTAAAATGCTCCTTTTTCCCCAAACAGCTTTTTCCACATGGCAGCTAACAGGAAGTTTCTTTCTAGTCTCTCATCCAGCTGGATTTCTTTCTCATGACCTGAGATACATACTACCACATCTTCTATAATGCGCAAGGCCTCAGAAATGAAAATGTTTCCCAGGGACAGCTTTCATTAGCAACAGCTTTCAACATATTTAGTTTGTCCTTCTGCCTGCACTTCCACACAGTTTTTCATTTCCAATTAGCAAGCAGCAAGAATAAATCACAAGTGTATTGTAAAAATCATCTTTCCTGCTCAAAATTGCCGGCATCTTCAAAATTGGCATCTTTTCTTCTTGCAATTTCCTCCTAGTTTCACAAACTTACTATACAAGGATGTGTATTGTGCTCTAGCACACTTCATTAATGTACTACCTTTATCTGCCCTACTGTTGGATGTTTTTCCCCAGTCGTCTTTAAGCGCCTGACTAGCATCATCATATCTTTAGGTTTTGAGTACTGCTGCAAGGCAAAAGAAAGCAGTTCTGCCCAGTCTGCAGTCTTGCAGATGCAGCTGTTAAGTTAATTGCCTCTAGCCTGCTAGCAGAAAGTTTCAGACCTCGTGCACATTGCATCCTAAACCATGTTGCCTTTGTAACAGAACAGCTTAAGCATGGTTTTGCCTGGCCAAAATTACTATTTAATACCTCTCCAGGAAACACAATTTAGTAAGAATTTCACACAACTAGGCTTAAAGGGAAGTCATACATATTTTATAAAACATACCTTTTGCATTAAACTTCTAAAAGCATTTCCAGAGTTTAGTCAGAGCCTTAAATTAGCAGTATTTATTTTAGCACCATTATAATGAAGTGCCCATCACCATGTCCAAAATAAGCACCTATCTTTGGAATTTAAACTTGGCTGTTAAATTCTATACCAAGGTGAAATTTTATACATCGTATTTCAGTATGAGTAAAATTTGCAACTAAGTATTTCAACTTTTTAACAAGACACACACACACACATTTTATAGTTGCATAAAGCTTTTGCAGAACCTTGTAACTTAAAGTGGTTTTTCACTACGAAAAAACCTCAGTTTAATCAAGCAATGATACTTGCTTACCACTGCATTAAATACTACTGATTCATTAACGGTTTCAAAGCTGTGCCCATTGCATTATCCTGCTGGCCCAAGGACAGCACTGTTAAATGTTATCAAGGGCACTATCCAACTGCAAAGAAAGAGTTATCTTCAGTGTTTAAATTTTGGTATCCCAAGACACATTGTGCATACATTATCCTGGATTCTCCAGGGCAAGGGGAGCTTGGATACATAGGAGAATAGAAAAATCTTGTTGTACACTTGCTACCTGATACACTGGGGAATGCAGTGCAGATACACCACCCTGTCCCTGCAAGGAATCAGCATGGGTCCAACCAGCAGCTATGGATTCCAGGCAATGGATGCAAAGTCCTTGCCAGACCCAGGTGTATCTGCACCATACTCTACAGAGCTCCAAAGAAGGGGATTACGAGATTTGCACAATGCTAGCATTGAAGTGGAGCCGCTCATATACATACAACTTGGTTACAAAGTCCTTTTGAAACTAAGGGCTTTGGAGGGTTTACGGAGAGGCAGTGGATCCACATCAAAGCAGTTTGGGTCTGCTGTGAAAAGGGCTCAAAAATACAGTTTGATCCAAGCTGATTATCAGAACAGGGATCACTACGGCATATCTAGATAACACATCTTGAGACTAACAGAGTTTGTTAACCTCAAGCCAAGTAAAAGCAATTTTATTTCCCAGCATAAACTGATCCTGGCATTGATATACCATATTTGCACAGCACTAGGTATTAAGTAACAAATTCCTCAGTTCTCTTTGCATCAGGGCAGACATCTGCAGCCTGTGACACAAGATAACCCAATCACGAGTAGTCAGGAACTGACTACAGAGATACTGTTTGCTTCAGTAGAAAAAGAAAATACTTTATGAATAGGAAGTTCCACAGTAAAAGTGACACAGGACAGCATGTGTTGCTGTTTTCTAGCCTCTGTCATAGCGAGTGTAAGTCCTCCTGGTTCTTCTGCCCCTGAATACATCCTACTGCTAAATCCTTAAGTTATTCAGCCATTGTAACTACAAATCAATATATGCTTTTCCATTCATATAGCTAAAACAATGCTTTGATAACCTCACATCTCAGCTACTCAACTGGCTTCCTATTTCTGGGAACATGCAAAAGTCACAACAAAGCATGTCTGATTACAAGGCTTGGACAGAAAAGTAAAACAGAACAGAACATAGGAACTGCTACATTTCTCTCGTTTCCAGGTTGTCTTTAATACTGACAGATCTTCCACAATCATAGCAAAATTGTTATTCATTGACAGCCATAATTTAGAATCCTCTATTACATCTACATATCTTCGAAACTACAAGGCATAAGGATAATTTATGCTGACTTTAACACAAGCTGTAGAAATTCACCCAGAAGTTCCTGTAGAAGAGCCCAGAAATCCATAGGGGAATTGAAGCACTCCTTCTGGAAAGGCCTCCAACCTTGATTCAGAAGTCAGCTAAAAAACAAAGCAATCTGCGCCTTTGTGATCCGCCCCTATGTCCAATTGCCTTTGCTGTTAAAAACTCATCCCTGATTTGAACTCCTGTCCAGCTTCCGATTCCAGCTATCAGGTCTTCATGCCTATTACGCCTTTGCCAGGCCAGAGATTCTCCTCTACCTGCATAGGTGTGCAGTCAACAACTTCCAGTTCAGCTAGTAAGCTCAGGACAAGCAAGCCAGAAACTGCATGTCTAGAGGCTGAACTCTAGTTTCCAACAGTAGCACAGGAGGAAGCAGTATGCAGCAGTATTACTACCACAAGGTAAACGATTTGGGTCTGGGAACCAGCAGGCGGCAAGGAGAGGTTCATTGCCAAGTGGGGCATCTCACAGGAGGTGGACATAACTTGTGCTAGGCTTCCTACTTCTCTGGCACTCCAGGAAGTGTCAGTGATCAGGAGCACTATAAGCAGGACAAGTAAACAGGAGCGAGGCAGGTGGCAAATCAGGAACAGTTAATAGAGATTTCATAGAATCCCAGACTGGTCTGGGTTGGAAGGGATCTTAAAGCCCACCCAGTTCCAACCCCCTGCCATGGGCAGGGACACCCTCCACTAGCCCAGGTTGCCCAAAGCCCCATCCAGCCTGGCCTTGAACACTGCCAGGGAGCCAGGGGCAGCCACAACTTCTCTGGGCAACCTGTGCCAGGGCCTCGCCACCCTCACACAAAGAATTTCTTCCTCAGATCTCATCTAAATCTGCCCTCCTTCAATTTAAAGTCACTACCCCTCATCCTATCACATCACGCCCTTGTAAAAAGTCCCTCTCCAGCTTTCCTGTAGCCCCTTTAGGTACTGGAAGGTGCTCTAAGGTCTCCCCAGAGCCTTCTCTTCTCCAGTTACTTGCCAAATAACTGACCAATCTGACTGCCAAAATAGCTATGTGGATGAAAGGTGTAATACAATTCAACTTTACCAAAGCTTTTGACACCTTTTACACGTGCATCCTTGTTTGGAAACTGAGGAAGCATGGGTTTGATGACTGCTAAATAGGCTGAAAACTAGATGAACCACTGGGATCAAAGACAGCATTAGCCAATGGCTTGACAGCCAGTTATGAGAGAAGGTCAATAGCTGCAGGGGCTAATATTATGCAGTATCTTCATCAGCAACCTCTGTGATGACACAGAATGTACTCTCAGCAAATCTGTGGACAGTGCGACATTTTGGGGATAGGGTGGGGTGGAAGAGTTGATCCAACAGGTAGAGCTTTACTTCAGAGGGACCTGAAGAAAAAGCATTACAGAGCAAAAGCTAAAGACGGAGTAAGCAACGACAGCCTACCAGTATTGAAAATGGATTAAAGACAATTCCAAAGACTCAGAAGAGACACTGCAAGATATTCTATCCACCTGTTTTATGTAGGCTCTGCTTCCTTTCATTTTGAAGATTATTTTTCTGTTCTTGGTTAGTGTCCACACCAGTTTCAGTCCCTACAGCTCCAGGGGACACAAAGGTTGGGACAGTTGGCTGCACTGTGAAAACAGATGAAAAAAAATAAAAAAATCTCTGTTTCTTTCCATTCCTCCTTAAATATCTCATTTTCTACAATGTGCCCTTACAAAAATCTAGGATTGT